AATTTAAGGTGTTGAATTCAAGGTGCTGAAATCAAGATGTTGGAAGGTTGAGAAGTAGAATCTACTCTCTGCATTTGTTTTACATCATATTTCTGGATGTAATGGAATATAGAGCTCTTCCAAAAAAATTGAAAGGGAATTGGAATTAATACAGTTTATATTCAATAAATATGAATAATCTTGAAAAAACAAAGAAATGAACTTCTTGACCCATTCAGGTTGTTGGCTATATTCACTTCCTTGCAATTTTTGGACTGAGATCCACATTTCCTTGCTAGCTATCAGCTAGAGGCTGTCTTTGCTCCTAGAGCAACAGCGAGTCAAGTTCTTCTCATGCCTCCAATTGCTTTCACTTCCCCTTCTGCCTTATCGCTCTAATTTTACTTGAAAAAAAAAAAATCTCTGGTTTTAAAGGTTCATGTTAACTCATTCCAATAATCCAGGAAAATCTCTCCTATCTTACCAAAGCCCATGATTTCAATTACAGCTGCAAAGTTTCTTTTTCAATGTTACATATCTATTTATGAGATACAGGGATTAGGACACAGACATCTTTCCTATCACACTCAATAATGTCACATTTGCAATGTCAGCATCCAATCAAAGCATATCAGATAAGAAGCAGGAAGATGTGATCAATAACAGGGAGCAAAAACAAACCCTCCCACAGAAACAAGAACAACAACAAAGATGACAGAACTAGCAGATAAGAGTTTTAAGATATATCTTATAAATATATTAAACAGTTTAAAGAAAAACATAGAGAGTTGAGAAGTGGAAAATATCAAAGAAAACTAAATATAATAATATCTACAATGAAAAATATAATATCCAAAATGAAATTTTCACCGGATGTCTTAAAAGCAGATTAGACATTACAGAGGAAAAGACAATCAATTTGAAGACTTGTGAATAGAAACTATAAAAACTGAAGGATAGAGAGGAAATACTGAAAAAACATGAACAAAGCTTTAGTGATCTCTGGAGTGACATTAATCACTTTAACATACATGTGACTGTAATCACAGAATATCAGGGAAAAGTTTTAAAGAAATGAACTTCTAGATTTGATGAAAAATATTAATCCCAAGTCCAAGAAGTTCAACAAGTTTCCTGGAAGGAAAAATAAACAAAGACAAATATAATCAAATTGTCAAGAACTGTAATAAAGGGGAAATCTTAAAGTAGACGAAGACATAAACATGGGGAAACAAAGAACTATTACTGTCTTCCCATCAGAAGCAAGCCAAGTCCAAAATACATGTGACATCTTTGAAAGGCTGTGGAGTGGCTGGTATCGTGGCACAGCAGGTTAAGCCCTGATGCTAGCACCCCATATGAACACAGGATAGAACTCTCTGCTAATATGCCTACGAAAGGAACAGAAGACAGCCCAAGTGCTTGGACCCCTGCTACCCACATTGGAAACCCAAAAGGGATTTCAGGCTAGGCCAGCGACCCCCACCCATCATTGCACAGCCATTTGGGGAGTGAACCAGCACATGGAAGATCTCTCTCTGTGTGTCTCTGCCTTTCTCTGAAACTCCACTTTTCAAGTAAATAAATAAATCTTTAGAAAAAAAATGCTGTAAGGAAAAAAGGATATCCTCCTAGAATTCTACAATGGTACTTCAAAACATTCATGGAAATACGGAATTAAAAGATAAATTTACTATGGTGCAAAAAATACTTCGAATTTAAAGCACAGTTAATTTGTTTTTTATAACATGCATTTTCCATGAACTTTATTAAGGCCCCTCATAGATCTACACAGTGCAGCCTTCAGAAATGAAAGTGAAGTACTTTCTCAGAGGAACAGAAGCTGGAAGAAATTGTCACCTGCAGAGGTACACTACAATAAATGATAAAACAAGTTCTTCAAATGAAGGAAAGTGAAAGCAGATAAAAATCTGGATATGCACAAAGAAATGAGGAACACATGCATTAATAAAAAAGATATTTTCTTTTCATATTTGCTCAAAAGATAGCTGATTAATGAAAAAAAATAACGTATTTGGAGTCTGAATATGGTAATTATGCAAACAGAGTAAACAGAAATATATTATTATAAGTCTCTTACATTTTACATGAAGTATTATTTACATGTAAATATTATCAAAGTGTTATTTATAAGCATTATTAAATACAGATCTAGTAAACCCTAGAGCAATCTAAAAATAAATGGATACATACATATGTACATACCTATATACACATAAAGTGTAGCTAATAAAGTAGATATGAGACAAAAATACAAAAAAAATAAATAAAGTATTTAAAGAGGAAATAAAACGATAAATGGAATAAGAACATATAGCACAAAAAGCAAGATGATGGATTTAAATCCAATGACAGTGATGATTATATTAAGCATAAATGGGTTAGATGTGTCAATTAAAAGACAGATTTCCAGATTGAATTTAAAACACAAAATACTACTGCTATATATTATGTGTGTGTGTGTGTGTGTGTGTGTGTGTATGTGTGAGATTCTGAAACTTCAGGGAAATTGGATTAAAAGACAAGTCTATTTTGATGCAAAAACTTGAAATTATTATCATTTTTTTCATAATACACCTTTTCTGTGAACTTTTTGACCCACAAGGGGTCAAAATAAAAAGAAGAGAAATACCAATCATAAAACTTAGAGTGTGTCTATATTAATATCAGAGAAAGTAGGTTTCAGGAGAAGAAATATTACAAAATATAGGTTTTTCCATGAGAAAAAGGTGAATTCATCAAGAAGACCTTAATAATCCTAAATATGTAAATGGCATCTTAGTTCATTCTGGCCACTGTAGACAAATTCCTTAGATGGGAAAATTTATAAACAACACAAATTTATTGTCCACACAATTCTGGAGGATGGAAAGCCCACAAGAAGGGCATGAGCAGATTCAGTGTCTGGTTACGGGCGGGCTCTCTGTTTCTTGATGGCACTTTGTTGCCACATGACAGAAGGTGCAGAGAAGCTCCCTCAAGCCTCTTTTAGAAGGGTACTAATCTCGGCCTTAATGGCCTAATCACCTCTGAGGATTTCTCTTCCTGTTACTACCAGCTTGAGGATTAACATTTCAATACCTGAATTTTGAGGGCACAAACATTCAGAATACAGCAAATGGTTTGAAACCCACCCTGGAAGACAGTTTGGCAGTTTCTTTCAAAATTAAACAAATACTTACCATATGATCTAACAATTCCATTTTAGGTATTTACAGAAGAGAAAGAGATCAGTACACAAAAAGATGTGTAAATGAATGTTCACAGCAGTTCTAGTTGAAATCTAGAAAACAATTAGTCTCCACCAGCAAGTAAACAGAGAAACAAATTGTAAAACTGTAAAATTACTGTTATAAAACATCAATATGAATCTTAAAAACATGCTGAAAGGATGTCAATTACAAAAGAACGCATACATTAATTCTGTGTATATGTACTTTTAGAACAGGTAAAACTAACCTTTAGTGATATAAACTACACTAGAAGTTAGGGAAGTTTATCTGGGAAGGGGCATCAATAAGATTTGAGGATTGTGAAAATATTCTATATCTTGGTTGGGTTGGTCCTTATATAAGTGCATACATTTGTTAAAACTCATTGATCTGTGCTTTTAAAATGAGAAAGTTTTCTATAAATTATACCTTGAGGCATTGATTTAAAAAACAATGGGAGGGGTGGTGATGTGGCCTAGTTGATTAGGCCACAGTCTGTAGCCCACATTGATGCCAGTTGGAATCCTGGTTGCTCCACTTCTGATCCAGCACCTTGCTAATGTGCTTGGGAAAGCAGTGGAAGATGGCCCAAGATCCTGGGCCCCTGAACCCAGATGGAGTTCCTGGCTCCTGGCTTCGACTTGGCACAGTCCTAGCTGTTGCAGTCACTTGGGGAGAGAACCAGTGGATGGAAGATCTGTTTCTCTCTCCCCGCCCCATCCCTCCTACCCCCACCAACTGTACCTTTCAAATAAATAAATAAATCTAAAAAAAACAAAAAGGAGAGTTTCAAAGAATACAAATAAAATGTGTAAAATGCCACAATAAATAATTCTGACCATTTAAAAGGCAAGGAAATCATTAGTGATTCTAGAAAGCACGTTTTATGGAAAAGATGGGTAGAATCCAAGATGCTACATGTTTTAGTCATATATACCTAGAACGAGAAATCCATGTAGAAAAACAGACTTTTCTACCTCAGTTAGTGCATCTCAAATGTTAATGTGCATAGGAGTCACTTGTTAACTGCAGGTTCTGAGGCAATCTTGAAACCGACCTGAGGTTGTACATTTCTGAGAGTTTCAGGTGACGTCACTGTTGCTGGCCCATCTACCACACTTTTTTTTTTAAGTAGCAAGAACACAAATCACTCTTTGGGGACATCCATGGTGTACATCAAGTGACAATCTGACTCAGAATTTCAAAGATATAGAATCCACTCCTACCATTAGTTCAGAATACTATCCTGTAGACTGACAACCCAACCCCTTTTCTATTTGTGACTGTAACCAGAACAGGTGCTTTCGATGGGATGGAAAATAACAGTGATCTTTTTGTCAGGCGCCTTTGGTTCAAGCCCCAGATCTGTTTGTCACCAACCGTGACAACTCGGGGCAGTCCGTCCTAGCTTGCAAAACGACAGAACAGTTCCCGTTTCTCCTCTCTAGCCTGTAGTGAGGATCACAATAGGCAACGTAAGCGAAAGTACTGCGTAAACTGTCACCGAGACAGCGACAGACACAAAAATTCCGATAGATGGAGATAGAATGGCTTAAGAAGTCAGGCAAGAGTTTAAGAGAGGAGTGGACCTAAAAATAAGAAGTGTGACTCCAGCATTATACCTCGGGCGTGCAAGGAATGTACCATACGTGGGGGAAGGGCACCCCCTTTTTTTTAAAAAAAGTCCGTATTAAAAAAAAATGCAGCTTCTGTATTTTAAAGTATGCCTAAATCAGGACACCTGGCACACTAACTTTTCCCTCATGATACAGGACAACTGGCACCCACCTGGAAGTTCAGTGATAGTATTTTGCCTCAGTCTCCTGATTTCCAAGCAAGCCCTACCCACGCGTCTCTGCCCCTTTCTCGCACCCACCCGTCACTTTCCGGCTCCCGCCCCGCGGCGGCCCCCTCCCCTGGCGGGAGTTTCCACTACGCCGAAAGAGGAGGCGGTAACGGGCTCATCCATGTTCGCGCTGAGGGGAGGGGGGGCTGTGAGGAGCTGCGGGCCACAGACCGGTAAGAGACCCAGGCAAGACGATGGGAACCACACCAGAATCGGAAGGCACGGTGCGACGTAAACGAAAGCGGTTACGGAGCGGCTCCGCAGCCTCCGAGAGACCGGGCAACTTTGCACTCGGCTGCGCCACCCTCCCCGAAGCCTTCACGGGATGGCGCCGGCGGGAGAGGGCGGGGCCAGGCGCGCGGCGGCGGCCTCTGCTGCTGCCGCCTCCGCTGCGGCCGGAAACAATAGTGGAGGAGCCCGAGCCGCTCGGAAGGGCTGCGGCGGCCGGCGGAGCCGGACGGTAAAGACCCCGCACTCGGACCCCCGCCCCGCCTGCGTCCAGCCCTCGTTCCGCCCCGTGGCCCCGCCTCTGTGGACTTCTGAGCCCGGCTGCCCCTCGTGGTCGTGGCGCTCAGAGTGCCCCGACGGACGGACTGACGGACGCGGTTCTGAGGCAGGAGCGCGACCCTAACGCCGGAGACCGGGCGAGTACCCGCTCCCCGAAACGCTGCGGCCGGACGGACCGGCCGCCGGGGCTCCTCGGACGCCTGCCTGTGTGGGAGAAAGCCCAGGGCTAGGGGATGCGGCGCTCCCGCCGTTCGGGCTCGCGCACCTCACGACTCACACCGCCCCGGACCGTGGAGCCGTCGCTCGGTCTTGGGTGCGGGTGCCTTGGACGGGATCGGGCCACTCTCCCGGGATGTTGGCGTTTCCACGTGCTTTTTTCCGGCCGCGACCTCGGCTAGGAAGCCTAGCGACGTGGAGGCAGGGAAACGCACCTAAGGTTCCCATCATGAAGTTAGCAAAGCAGTGTCCCCAGCAAGTCGTCTCCCCCGGGTATAACAGCGTTAAATTGGTTGACCCAATCCAGCAGCTGAAAAGGCCTAGCTGCTAATCTCCCTTCTGTGCCACAAAGTCTGTATCGGGGGCGGAGGAGGAGGAGGACTAGGACTTGCAAACCTCTTGCTGTCCAGTTGCCGCGACCAAAAAGAGAGTGAGTCTAGACCTGGGCATAGAGTGACCTCTAGCCAGGCTTTAAAGTTTACTCCTCTGTCTTTCCACAGTAAAAGTAGGATGTTGAAGTGCAAGCTTTACAGAGACAGAACAGCATCCTCGTTTCCTAGAAGTTCTCAGTATTGCCCGTTGTAAGAAATTCTTGGAATTACATAACTTTCTTTTCTGTTTCCCAACAGGGGCACTATGAACGAAGAGGAGCAGTTTGTAAACATTGATCTAAATGATGACAACATCTGCAGTGTTTGTAAACTGGGAACAGACAAAGAAACACTCTCCTTCTGCCACATTTGTTTTGAGCTAAACATTGAGGGTAAGGACACAGTTTTAATTTTGTGGCATGAACTTTACACAACCGTTTTATCATGAACTGGTTATAAAGTAAAATTTCTCAAGTGATTGGGAACTGCAGAGTGCGAAGTGTAGAGATCTGTTAAAGATAAGAGTTTCTGGAAATGAAACGAGTTAAAAAGAAATCTTAGCTTCTTAAACTCAGAGTAATAACCCCATTTTTGCTAATAAGAAAATGAGGTGTGAGTACTGACTGATGAACATGTTTCCTGGTTTGAAAACTTAATAGGGTATCAGAGCAGCACAATTTTACTCCCTCTGGCCTAGGATGCCAGGTGAGCCTAGCACTGCCGCTAAACCCCCAGGGCTATCCTGTTACCTGGAAAAAAAATTTAATTTTTAGAAAACTTTTCAATGATCACACACACCCATCATAATGTTAAAAAACTGAAATGTTTTTTGAGAGCTCTTATTAATCTGTAAGACATATTTTTTAAAGTTCTCCAGATATTTTGTTAAAATTTATTTATTTGTTGTGCAAGTTAATATGCTTATGTATATCAACAGCTTGGTTTCAGGACATATAGGATATGCTTCCTTAATTTTTCTGTCAAATTAAAACTCTGATTCTTTTTAAATATTTGTGTCACACTTTAAAAATGTGAATATTACTGCAAAGAAAACCTTACCAGTAATTTGAATTTTGAGGTATAATTTTCAATGGAGAAATTTTATTAGACCTTCCAGTTGTTAACAGTTTCAAAACAGTATTTCCTTTTTTCTGGATTACGTATTTGAGGTTTTTCTATGAAGGAGATATGACAAGATCTTATAGTAAAATGTATAAGTTATACAGTGTATACCTTTAAATTCCTGTTAAGACTTGTTATTCAGAAATTGTTGTAGTTACCCTTGTTTATGTGATAGAAGCGATCTGGATATTCCTGTGTGTGCTTATAACTTTGGCTTTAATAAATACAGTAAGTAATTTCAAAAGGATGACAGAAAATGATTCTTCTGTAGCTTTTAAATTACTATGACCTTAGGCATAGTACGGTGGAAGTTCTAAAATTATGTTCTTTGACCCTGTATATTCTGGAATGATGTAGAATTTTAGATGGACAAACCATTAGAAGTTATCCAGCCCAAATCGGTACTAGTATTTTACATTTAAGAAAACCAATAACCAGATAATTGGACTGTTAAAGGTTACTGTCATGGTGATAGCAAGCTGTGGTTTTGTGCCCAGCACTGTACTAAGTCCCTTGCATGGATTATCTTATTTAATTCAAAAATAGTTCTGGATGGCTTATTACTGTTAACCATTTTAAATGTAATTGAAATGAACTTTTAAAGACCTGAGAAATGCACTTGGAAGTCGCAGAGCTATTAATTGAGAGTGTTGATCTTTGAAATCTGGCCATCTGGTTCTGGTAAGATGGTCTAAATTCCATTGAACTACTGGCTATAGTTATTCTAATTGGTAGTACTACTGTTGGAAACCTGTCCTCCTGAATTCTATTTGGTTATTCTTGCTATTTGGTCAGCCAGCTTTTCCTAACCAGTGATTTTATGAACTCATCATTAAAGTGATTCATGCTGTGAGGGAATTTTTCACAGAAACCTAAATTTTCATAATTGTTTTCTTTTTTTAAGATTTATTTCTTTAAGAGAGTTACAGACAGAGAGAGGGAGAGACAGAGAGAGAGAGGTCTTCCATCCACTGGTTCACTCCCCAAATGGCCACAATGGCCAAAGCTGGGCCAATCTGAAGCCAGGAGCCAGGAGCTTCTTCAAGGTCTTCCATGCTGGTACAGGTGGGCCGTCTTCTACTGCTTTCCCAGGCCATAACAGAGAGCTGAATCGGAAGAGGAGCAGCCAGGACTCGAACCAGCACCCATATGGCCTGCCAGCACCACAGGCAGAGGCTTAACCTATCATGCCACATCACCAACCCCATAATTGCTTTCTAACCTTTTAAAATAAATTTGTTCACAATTATTATAAAGAGAAAATGCAAACATTCCACAAGTAACATCTTTTTCAACATTTCAGCTCTGATACTGTCTTCATATGTAAGACGTAAGTCCTTTGTTTTTTGAAATAGTAGTTGTTTTCAATTTAAAAGATAAAACAGTTCTCAATTTGAATTAGAGTTGTTCCATTTAATACTTGAGGTATGTGCATGGTTTTATGTATTAAAATTCCATCTTGACATGTGAGAAAAATTAGAGCAACTAGCTTATCTGGTATCAGTTCTCAGCTTTCACAGTGATGAGCTAATACATTTTCATTTTTACTGCAGTGATGATATTTTCTTTAATGTCATAATATTATTGTAGAATAAAAAGGGAAAGAATCAGCCTGAATTCTTCAGAATTTCAGTTTATATCATATAGATTTTTAAAAATCAATGGAAAAATGTTAATAAATTAACATAGTAATTTTAGTATTTTTTTTGTCTATGACAGTAAAGCTTCTTAAATGTTTTTGAAATTAAATGCTGGTGAGAATGTAAGGGAAAAAGTTCCCTAATCTACTGTTGATGGGAATGCAAACTAGTACAGCCATTGTGGAAGACAGTGTGGAGATTCCTCCGAAAACTGAAAATAGATCTACCATATGACCCAGCCATCCCACTCCTAGGAATTTTCCCAAATAAAATGAAATCAGCATATGAAAAAGTTTTCTGTACCCCAAGTTTATTGCAGCTCAGTTCACAATAGCTAAGATATGGAATCAACCCAGATGTTCATCAACTGACTGAATAAAGAATGAATGTAACTGGAAACCATTATACTTAGTGAAATAAGCTGGTCCCAAAAAGACAAATACCATTTGCTTTCTCTAATCTGTGGCAACTAATAGATATGAAAAAAATATAATATATAATTATTTACATTGCAGTCTGCATAAAATTATTCCTGAGCACTATCTGTTGAAAGGAAATGGCTTAGGCCGGCGCCGTGGCTCAATAGGCTAATCCTCTGCCTGTGGTGCCGGCACCCCGGGTTCTAGTCCTGGTCCGGGCGCTGGATTCTGTCCTGATTGCTCCTCTTCCAGTCCAGCTCTCTGCTGTGGCCCAGGAGTGCAGTGGAGGATGGCCTAAGTCCTTGGGCCCTGCACCCACATGGGAGACCAGGAGAAGCACCTGGCTCCTGGCTTCGGATCAGCGCGGTGCGCCGGCTACAGCGGCCATTGTGGGGTGAACCAACGGAAAAGGAAGACCTTTCTCTCTCTCTCTCTCACTCACTGTCCACTCTGCCTGTCAAAAAAACAAAAAAAAAGGAAAAAAAAAGAAAGGAAATGGCTTAAAGTCTAAATTAATTTAATTATTATCTTATTATCCTTAACAAAGGAAATGCTTAGATGTTACATTGGCATTGGTTCTGTTTCACTGAAAGAAATTATGAATGACCAATGACCAAAAAAAAAAGAAACTGTATATAAGTGAAATTGTTACTTTTCCCATTCTATCTTCTTAATGGTATAACACTGCATAAAGTTATTAATCACCCTTAGAAATGGTTTTGAAGTTATAGTTTAGCTGAATGCCAGTCAATAGATTACAATGAGAGTCTTGTAAAACATGACTTTTAGCCCTACTAGTTGGGTGTCATTTTCTCTCCAGTATGGTAACATTTCTGTTGCAAGGTTTTTTAATTACAAATTGTTGAATTTGCTGTAAATCATTCTGCTTTTATTTTTTTCTGCAGAGGCTTAGTCAGATTTTCTTGAGGAAAAACAGCAATTAGGCTAGTTTTAAGTCCACACACTCATTGTAAAGAAAAATAGTATTTTACACTGTTAGGATTGTTGCTTACATCAAATCAGGGCTGGCCTCCTAATCAGCTGACCTCTTGTTTAAACAGTGTGTGCATGTGTATGTTTATAAAATTAATCTGAGGAAAGAAAAGTAACAGAAGACAGACTAATGTTTTTGGAGAGAGTTTGTATTCTGGGCATTACTCTAGGTTGCCTTTTATCTCTATGATAATTAAAAGGAAAAGAGTTTCTCACTTTTACGTACTTCCAAGCCGTGGATGTGATATATATACTTTAAGGACTTACAGAATACACTTTGGGGGCTCAATTATTCTTAAATATTCACAATGTTGATTTTTTTGTATCAATAATTCACTGTTAGAATAACTTATTTACTTTAGAATTAGGAGACAAATGCATAAACTTACTAATACTTAAGGTCTAGCCTTGGCCCCAGGAACTGTAAACTTTTTTTACATGTTAATGGTCAAATACTCTTAAGATTAATTATAGCTCATTGTGTAGAAATCTCCAAAGATGCTTAATGGCCAGATAATACAGTTTGCTAAGCTGTTAAAGCAGAGAAGGCAGCCCAGAGTCACTGGGAGCCAGTAATGAACTCAGGTTTAACAGTGCCATGAAGGAGACTAAAGGAGAAATAGATCCAAGGTTCCATACTGTTACTTTATACTGTTTTCATGTTGTACTAAAATACTGTGCAAATAATTCTTAGAATATTTTACTTTCCTCTGATAATTGATAGGCTTTCTCTTCTACAGGGAAAACCTTAATAAAACTGGGTCAATCTCTGTTAAACCAAGTAAAGTTTTCAGTGGAAGTTTCCCTTTCTACTTAACAAGTAAATGTATACCTGGATTTTCTCTTTATAGCTCATTATTAACTTCTTTCTACCTCAGTTTGTTTATCCAACAAGAAATATTGTTGGTATTTTTTCTTGGTTAAGGCATGAGTGAGCCCAATGCCTTCTTTCTAATCTTAGTCTTCCTTGATTCTCTTTGTTTTGACCACAGCACTGTCCATAGACAGTAGGGAACAATTTGAATATCGGTATTGATCTTTGATATAGGGGCAGGTGTTTGCCACATCAGTTAAGACATCACTCCTCCTGGGCACCTGCATCCCATATTGGAGTTTGCATTTCCAACTGCATCTACCTACTAATGCATAACCTGGGAGGCCGCAACTGATTACTTAAGTACTTGGGTCTCTGCCCCCGATGCGGGAGACCTAGATTGA